AAGAATGAGTAAAACATTTGACTCGCAGATTCTCTACTGTAACGATGTTTTTCAGCTAAACTGAAAGTCTTAATAGGTTTTGGAAACCTCGAAAACCTAAGTTAGATGTTTATAAAAGTCTCTTACATTGTTATAAGAAAGATTTGGGACTATGATGAGAAATACATAATATGCGACGGCCATTTTTTTCCCCCCGGCCCATCATTACATACTAAGCACTACTGTGCTTAGTGATATATATGTATACATGATGTACGTATACATCACTGGCCTTTGATGTTTTTACAAAAGAAAATCACTGGCCATAAAACTTTCGCTACAAAATAAGTGACCAACTAAATTAACGAGAAGGTAACTCACGTAGTAATTAACGTGCCGAACCTTACCTCATGGTGACAACTCTGTTTATTTTCTATTTAGGATTAAATTTGATATTTACTTACACGAATACGCTGACATATTTTTAGCCTGTTACTCTATTAGCTACCAGGTGGTGTATTTAAGAATGAAATTTATTTATCAAATTCTACAATAAGGATTTTTATGATGTTACTGAATATGTTTATGGGCATTTTTTGTAGAGAAACGACGGTATATTTTATTTTTAGGTGATGCTATCATTGCATTATTGAACAAAGGCTTTATTATTGTGATTTTGGAAAAATCCAAAGTCCATCTTACACTGCCTCGTTATTTTATTAGGAACCTCTTTTAATGTGGGTTTGGACCACTTTTTGCAGTAATAATGGCTTGGATTCGGCATGGCCCACACCTCATATGTTGTATTGTTCGACGAAAAATATATCTGGTGTGCAATTGGTTCATAGATATTGGCAGAGAATTTGGTGGCGAATGCGTCGTTCACCTAAATACCAATATTGATTAGCCGGATTGAGATTTGGTGATTGAGCTGGAAAGAGAAGACGAGCAAATCGAACAACAGTTATTTTTTTTAAACCAATTTTGGAATTTACCAAAAGACTGACCCCCAGTGGCACAGCGGTATGTATGCGGACTTATACTGCTAGAAACCGGATTTCGATACTCGTGGTGGGCAGAGCACAGACAGCCCTTTGTGTAGCTTTGTGCTTAATAATAAAACAAACAAACAACAACCAAAAGAGTGGGTTGTTGTATTACTGCCATAGAAAAGCCCTTGCCCATCAGGATGTAAACTCAATTTTTTTTTTTTGACACAGAATTCGTTACTTGACGTAGTAAAATTAACAGGTTTCTTTTTATTTTATTTATTAATAATGGGGTGTTTTAGTAGTGACGCTTTGAATATAAAATACAGACAGCGAAAAATTTTGTATACACAAGAGACGGTAATTTCAAGCAGATATTGAATAAAACACAACAATATAATTTGTATATTTTGGAAAAAAATATTGTACTCAAGTTTATGTTTTATTCTTTAGCCGTCGTAGTACATCTGTTATAGAGAGTTCTTTTATCAAGCAAATAAAACAGTACTTTTTGCTTTGCTAATAGTTCAGCTTCTTGCTATCTTTCTGATAACTTGTTATTTTACAGCCATAATAACTGCTAACATGTTATATAGCAACCATTCTTAGCTGCTAACTTGTTATCTGACAGCTATACATAGTTCAACGTGCTTCGAAATACCAGTCATAATATGCTATAAAACTCTATATGCGATTCTCGTCTTCATTGTTCGTTTGAAAAGTGAATTTTCTTTCAAGTTCTAGAGAAAATTATTTTCAACCCAATTCCATTTTTTAATATGTTTACCGAATAACTGTATTTCTTTGTAATGTATGCGTCATATTTACGTTTCATATAGAGCTTCAGTTTTACTTTATTGGTGTTAAGGTTTAAATTTTTATTTGCAAATTCACAAAGTATTACTAAATCTAGTTTTCCAATTAAAAATGATTCCATTCTTTGCACAGTGTCTATCTTAATTACATAACGGCTCATAGATTAGCTCTGAGTTTCTTTTTTTTTTTTCATGTACAAACTTTTAGCTCATAGCTCCGTCATCTCTTGACCGATTTAAGATCTGATTACAGTTTTGGACTAAGGAGATCAAACCCTTTCGATTGATATATCTGACCACGGCCAAGATTTCATAGATTAATTCACTCTAATCCTGCCTAAAATAATTTAAATTTGAGGGTAGGCTCGTAGAGATCCTGATGAGTAATAAAATATAATCGGGTATACGTGCGCTCCACGCTTGGTATTGCTGGCGCACAAAAACGTACCTAATAAAAAGGTCTCATAGATTAATTTACTCTAACCCTGCGTAAAATAATTTTAAGTGCCGCAGCTATTGACGATCCCCTCTTGTTTAAATGTGTTTTTAATATGAAAGCCAACCAATAAGAAATATTTTATTTTTGATAACTTGGTTTATTGTATTTGTTTGTTTGTTTGAAGTTAAGCACAAAGTAACACAATGGGCTATCTGTGCTCTGCCCACCACGGGTATCGAAACCGGATTCCAGCGTTGTAACTCCGTAGACATACCGCTGTGCCACTGAGGGGCTGGTTTATTGTATACAATTTAATATGTCTTCAAGTGCGTAATGAGCTATAAAAAAAATGTTTTTTAATTGTTCCGGTAGTTATCGTCTGCCCTTCCCAGCAGCTCAGCGGTAAACCTGAAAGCTTATTGTAACGACAGCGGAAGTCACGCGACGCTGGGAGCATGCGCGCTGGAGTTTCTAGAAGGATCATGACTTATCGAGGAACCCCGCGAATGTCCGAAT